TTGTGCCTGACATTTGGATTTGCAAGAAACTTAAATGACATTACAATTGGCATGAAACAAATTATTTTTCACTTAACGCATGTTTATGCGTGCTTTCATTGGTAATTCTGGAATATAAACTTTTTGCCATGTACGTGCCTCTTACAGTGGTTTCTTTGCTTACTTGAAAATAAACTACAGGCCCATTTACATTATTAGAGATTCCAATTAACAACCTTGATTCAATATTGTGTAACAATTCACAATGTAAAAAGAATTGATGAAAATTATTTTAGTTTTTATTTTCATTCTTTTTTATTGATTTGGCTAAAAGTTGATTTAAAATTACTTTTCCCACTCTTCGTCAACCTTTGATTAATTCGAAAATTGTATTTTTTGTCTCTCAAATTATTTCAAAATAATCTATTGATTGTTATTTTTCAACCAATAATAGCTTAACTGAGATTGTATTATTTTGCGATTATAATAAATCCGATACAATTTATTGAAATTAATTGTGATCACCATGCACAGGCGACTTCAAATCCCGAAGTTGCTTTGAGCAGCCGAGTCTGTGCCGACTGCCTGGTTTCAGCCTCTAATACCGATATTGGTAATAATAGCAGAGAATAGAGTGGTTCCTACAGTTCCAATTCTTGAGGGAGACCAATGTAAGATTTCAAGAAGCCAATACAGGCATGCACGGGTGTGCTCTGAGGCTCCGAATGCAAGCAAGCGAGACTGATCGATAATAGAATGCGTTTTTACGAATCTACAGGTCTCGTAAGCAATTTTATTCTTTCAAAGGTAGTTCAATTCAGTACTACAACCTATAAGCATAGATCAATTTAAAATATATTATGAAGAACTTTTGAATGAAAATACGCTTGCAAAACGTACATCAGAGAGATCGAGGAACTGGCTGATACGGAATATATTGCGCTGGTGGCAGATAGGGAGAGACTGAAAAAATACAGAGATCTAAAAATGGAAAAGCAGCCAGACCAGGATTGCTAAACATTGAATTGCTGAATCATGGCCCCAGTTTATTTTTGGATCTTCTTACTCAACTGTACAATAGATGTTTAATGGGGAAAGAATTACCCAAGGGCTCAAGGAAAGGATATCTCTCTAACATCTACAAGAAAGGTGATTAAAAACAGAGTGCAAATTATAGAGGTAATAACTGTCCTTAGCAGCACTGGCTGAATGTGTGGGAAAATATTAAAAACCCAACTAGAAAGAGACCTCATTGATGTCGAGGAACAGAGCGGCTTTCGAGCAGGGCGCTCATGTATTGCTAGCATTTTCAGTATTAGACAGGTAACTGACAAACGTCTTGCCCATAACTTGGAGGCGCACTTTGTGTTTATAGATCTGCATAAGGCCTAAGTGTTCCATTATCTAGGCTATGTATGGCGATGGAGAAACAAAATGTAAATACGCAATTAATTAGAGCCATTAACAATTTGTACAGTGACAATACGAGCCAAAAAAAAAAGAATAGGGAGAAATGTTTCAGCACCATTTCCAGTAAATAACAGTTTACGACAAGAATGCTGTGTAGCCCCTACTTTGTCTAAAATATTTTTTGAATGAAGCCCTGAGAAGATGGAAGAAGAAATGTAGTAATGTGGGTATTAAAATTGGTGACATTGTTATTCTCTTTACACTTCACAGATCATCAGGTGGTGTTCACTGAAGATGAAGATGATACTCTATACATGCTGCAAAAATTATATGATGAGTACTAGGAATGGGGTTTAGAAATAAACCTTAACAAGACTGAGTATATGGTTGTAGGAGAAAGTGCTAAAGGTCTGAAACTGGATCATGGTTCGGAAGTAAAACCCAGTCAAAAATTCATGTACCTTGGATCAGAAATAAATGCAAATGGAGGCAATACGCAAGATATTAGACACAAAATTGCAAAAGGTAAATTGGCTATAAGACAATTACATCCATTTATATGGAAAGATAAATGAAGTAAGAGAGTAAAAAGAAAATTATAAAAGACTGTTGTAGAGAATATTGCTCTTTATGGATCTGAGGTATGGGAAGTAACAAAAAAAGAGCGAAAAGAAATGGAAAGCAATGGCAATAAGCTTCTGACGCCAAAGTTGCAGACTGACTTTAATGGATGAAGTTAAGAACGAAGAAATTAAATAAAGCGGAAGTAAGTTTCAATATAATTGACACCATAGAAGTGAAAAAACTAAAATGATACAGGCACATGCAAAGAATGAAAGGAGAACATTGGCTGAAAATATTGAGGAAATGGCAACCCATCGATGCAGAGGAAGACCTAGACTAACATGGAGAGCGGGAGTGGATGAGGCAATGGTAAAGAGAGGTATAAGTAATGAAGACTACACTGATAGAGAGATGAGGAGACTGGGATGCTTCCCCTCTTGAATGGTGAGATTCAACAGGAACCGAGCATCCAAAAGGAAAAGTATTATTACTTTTTTAACAGAATTTAAATGTCTTAATTTCATTTGGTTTGTAAAATTAGTAAAGACTGTAACCAAGTACATTGTACTTCAGCTCTCTGGTCAATGAAACCAATCTTGATACAGCGCTTTTTCGTCCACGCTTTCTGACCTCTAGTAAATATTTTGAATTGGGGGAATTGGGGAATTGAATTGGAATTGGAATTAATGCTTATCTTCGTGGGGAGGAGACACGCTACAAACAATTACTCAGGAGGGCGCATTAGCTGCTCTTCGTCTGAACCACGGCAAATTTTGTACACTCCTTTCACCACCTAGCGAGGAGAAGGAGGTATTTGGCGAGAACAGGCGATTTGAATTTAGCTAGAGGCGTCATTTAGGCTTTGAGGATCTTTTTACAGCAAGTCAATTACGAACATGGACAGCCGGGGCTTTCTTCCCCTCCGAAAGGAGCGTACGTACGAAGGATTTTTTCGCCCTTAAAAATCCACGGCTTGTCGGGTTTGAACCCGCCAACTTGGGTACAACAGCCCAGTACGCTAACCGTTACACCATCGCCGCCGCATAAATGGCCCCTTGCTTTGCTTCTGATCATAATGTAGCTTCAAATTAACTTCTCCCCATAGCACGTCACACAGTTTTTAACTGTTTTTGACGTAAATAAGTAAATAAACAGCAACCTAAACGTCGGCTAGTACAGTTTGCCCCAACCAGGTATCTGCCACCAGCTGGGCATGAACCTTAAGTGTCTAATTGGTCTCCTAATGCGTGGATGAGGATAGGACAGGGAAGAGGAACGACAGATAGTGCACAATCCATGGCCTGTTTGTTAAAGTCTGCAGAATTCGCATTATCACAAACACAATTAATCACAAAAAGAACAGAAAACTACCGATCAGAATAGCCGGCTGCTAGAATTCTCTTCCAGACAGTGGCTGAATTTGACCTAGGTACGGAGGTGGTCCCAGAAGTACCCGGCCTGACCTAGAGATCACGGTAGGTTTCGAAAAATATCACTGTATTAGAAAGTAGACAATCTATGAAGCATATGTTTCAAGTTTGAAGACGCTATGTTGTTTAGTATTTGTTTGGCAACAATCAATAGTCAACGTTGTGAGTGAATTTGTAAAAATGGATAAAACCTGTCATCGTTATGTGATCCAATACTTTCATTTGAAAGGCCTCAGCCCAACCAGTATAAAAACTGAACTAGATTCTACTCTTGGCGAGTCTGCGCCTTCCTTTACTACAGAAAAATATTGGGTAGCAGAGTTTAAACGAGGCCGTACGAGCTGCCAAGACTAGCATCGCAGTGGTCGACCAAATGAGGTGGCAACTTCAGAAATGGTAAAGAAAATCCACAAAGCGGTACTGGGTGATCGTCAACTGAAAGTGTGCAAGCTAGCAGACAAAGTAGGCATTTCGAAAAGTGTGGTACATCGCATATTATCTGAAAATTTAGACGTGAGAAAGCTGTGTGCAAGATGGGTGCCGCGTATGCTAACACTTGAGCAAAAAGTGTCGTGAAGATGTTTCAATTGAGTGTTTAGTGAAGTTTCACCACAACAAAGAAGAATTTTTACACCTTTTCATAACCATGGATGAAACACGGGTCCACCACTTCACCCCAGAGCGAAAACAACAATCAAAACAATGAACTGAAAAGGGAGAACGCGCACCAAAGAAGGTGAAGACCATTCCATCTGCAGGCAAGGTCATGGCGTCGGTTTTTTGGGATGCGCGCGGGATCATTTTTATAGACTATCTTGAAAAAGGAAAAACTATCAACAGTGAGTATTATGCAAACTTACTGCAACATTTGTGCGAAGAAATCAAGCAAAAACGGCCACACGTGGCTAAGAAGAAAGTATTGTTCCATCAGGACAATGCACCAGCTCACAAATCCGTTACTGCAATGGCCAAAATTAATGAATTAAAATTTGAATTGCTACCTCATGCACCCTATTCCCCAGATTTAGCCCCCTCTGATTATTTTCTGTTCCCAAACTTGAAACAATGGCTCAGTGGGCAAAGATTTTCCAAAAATGAAGAAGTGATGTCGGTAGTTAAAGGCTATTTTGAGGAGCAAGACAGTTCTTATTATAAAAAGGGTACTGAACTTATTGAACATCACTGGGAAAAAGTGTATAGAGCTCAAAGGAGATTATGTTGAAAAATAGTTTCCAAAATTTTTGTTTTTTCTTTATTGGGTCAGGTACTTCTGGGACCACCCTCATATATAGCTAGGTCAATCCTGAAAATCCTGCCACAGTCGGGATTCAAACTCTATGACCACCAGTTAGAGAAACTGCAGTGACATCAGTTGATGCCCTGAGACACCTAAATCAGTCGGAGCTTGGTGAACCAAAGGGAAGAAAGTGCCATTGAGTAAAGTGCCATTTTCTGTATAGGTCTTCTACGAGTACACAAGAAGGGCAAATGAGAGTCGAATACAATGAAAAAACAAAGTTGTCAGATAAACATCGAGTCCAACAGAATAGCTTGCAATTCATTTGAATGTAAAAAAAATCTTAGGAAACTAATGAAACACAAATAAAGAGAACATACCCGTTTTGCCTGCTCAACAGCACGTTCTTTCTTGATACGTTGCAATTCAGCTAGCAATTGTGCAGTATCATCATCACTATCCCCATCATCGGAGTCCTCCTCGTCCAGAGGATCATCAGCATCAAGGCTGGCAGCAGGTACCTGGTCTAGTTTAGGCCTCTTGCTACTGCTACCTCCACTGGAGCTGCAGAATGCAGATAATGATCATGTACACGTACACCTTTTGTATAAAGATACATTTGGAAAGTGTATTTGCATTGCAAAAGTTTCATGTGACATTAAAATATCTGGAACAATGGCCACTAATTGAACTTAAGCTGCATACTACTTTTCCTCCTCAAATTTTCCCTCAGGCCTTTTACAAATCTGCACCAATTGACTGCAAAGAGGCTGATCCCTCTCCCCACATTTAGATAAGACCTGAATCTTTGGTGGAGAAAATTTTATCCAATAATTCTTTGAAATGGTAATAATAAGAATTGTAAAGTTAGAGAAATACAAAACTGTTACCAAAGGTAATGAGGATATTTTACTTTAAAAAATTATTTTGTAATAAAATAATGGAAATATACTATTTGAATGAAAAAATTCTAATATTTATACTAATAAAAATACTAATGGAAATACACTAATATTTTTTTAAAGGAGTATTCAATTTCCTTGACTCAGATATTAACTGGACATATTGGTGCATATTTTCTTGACAAACTGCACAATTCTACGCACTACTATATTTTTATTTTGTATCTCTGTACATACAACCTTTATTAAATAAATTTTAAAAAAATAAATAAACAATACTAACTGAGAGCCTGAATCTGTCCTTCGTTCACGGGCACTGCTCTTGTCCTTCTCACGCTCACGTTCTTCCAGCTCCTTACGGAAGTCTCGGGAGCGGAGCTCGTCAGTAGACCCTTGGCCATGTTCTCTGAAATGGAAAATTCAGAAATCAGTACTTACTAAACTTCTTTCACAATTATTTTTTCCTATGTGTTGCATATTTGGGTTTGAGAAAACTGACATTTGCTCAGTCACACTCTACATCATAATGCTCTTTTCTGGAACCAAATTACACAATGTTAACAAGTAGCATTGCCGTTCTCAAAAGTGATCAATTTTTCATGGAAGCAAATCAATCATTTTATAGGAATTTTTTCATTGAATTTTTTTATTTTTTAATTACAAAATTCAAACATATCCTCAGCCTTCTTCAATAAAATAAAACAAAATATATGCACTGGCAAGTAAGCATTGACTCTGACATTTTGGGAGGAGTTTAGCAATATTTACTAATTACTCAAAAGTTAAGGTACAAATTTGAGTGTTTCTTAATAGAATGTAAAGTAAAAATACATTCTATTGTAAACATAATTACAATAATTACTTGAAGAACTATTCCTTGACAAGTACTCTTACATTAAGTACTACTTCATATTATTAAGCCAGTGAAGGAATTTTTTTCCCTTTATTTCCTCCCACAAAATCCATTAGCTATTATAATTAATCAGTTTCAATTGGAATTGTGAACATTTGTTGCCAATCTTCTACGTACAAACAATTCCATATCACTAAAATACAGATAAAAATATAGTTAATGGCAAGATAGAAATATTAAAATACAACCTACCGGTATTTCAATTTATTGTGGGATGGTAAATCTCTGCTTGAATACTGGCGAGATATAGCACTTAAATCCTTTTCACCACGTCCTTGTCCGCCACGAGCAGGTTCGAAAGTTGGCCTTGCAGCAGTTGTCATTGTGTTGGTCTTTCAGACTGCCCAACAACTGTGATCGTTACTACCTGCGGCGAAACAAAAATCAACTTTAGAAGGCAGGAAAACCTGTATCTCACTAAATTAATATATCCAATTATAAAATGAAAAGTATTCAATTGAACGTTCTCAACGCGCAATTGGTAGTAACTTCTCAATGCTCCTCAACAACTGAATAACCTAAATGTTACAACTCCGTTGAAAGGAAAATACCTAGAGATCTTTACCTGCCAGAAACGGAACACACCCTGAAATAATGAAACGTTAATACAGAGAAGGTCCCATATACAAGAATCCTTCGATTTCTTCTAGGGGAGTTCCATAGAGCACAAATATCAACAAATATATTGTACCTCCCAATTACATCAATAGAGCTCACTGATCTCTCGACGTTCCGATTCTACAAATTCGATTCCTTTGCTTCCGATTCTTGCTAGAATCGATTCCACGAGCCTGGAATCGAATCAAATTAATAGAGCTGTTAAGAATTACGTCACAATGTTTGGCGGGAAAGTGTTGGGTCTCAAATTCTGCTCAGAACGTAATTGACGCCTAGAGAATTGCGAAATTTTTGGCTGTATTAGACAGTTGCCGAGGTGCATGTATTTTATCACATGTGTTATTTACATTGATATTTGCTTTCTTTTGATATATTTTGGTTGTAGCTGCGAATTTCGTCGACAAATTGAATTTAAAAAAGCATTATTTTGTCATCACGTCAAGTCGATACTTTTCTTTTTGAAAACGGTTCGAAGTAAATAATAAAATAATATTAAAACAATACATATCAATTCTGTACGCACCTAAAGCGTAGTACTAATCAATACTGCAGCACCTAATGCGTCCAGCGTAACCAGAGAAAAAACTTTTTTTTGTTTTGTTTTTTGACAGGCATTCTCTTTCTATTTCACAAGATGCGATATGCCAGTTCTTTTTTTCTTTTCTTCAGCTCAAAACAGTTAACATGAGACAGAAAGTCTAATGGGATAAGAACTTCTTATTTATATTTTTTAAGGGAAATGTAATTTGGATACTCTTATACACTGTAGAACATGTTAAGTAGGAAAGCTTTCAATTTACTTTTAAATGTATGAATTGTGTTTATGTCTTTAATATCATTGCCTAGTTTGTTGTAAAGTGTAATTCCCATTATTAGGGTACTTTTTTGATAAAATGTAGTTTCAGAGTGGGGAACATGTAGGTTATCCTTTCGACGGGTTAGTTGTGTATATCGGAATTTAAAGTAAAAGTGTTTTTGTTTTCCATGAGAATTTTCTTTGTGAAGACCACTATTTTGAATATATAAATGCATTATAGAGGAAGAATCTTTACTTTATTGAACAAGAGTTTGCAAGACTCCAGCTTATGAATGCTGGTCATTGTTCGCAATATCCTTTTTTGGAAAATAAATGGGTGAGTATTTCAGGGGCATATCCCCAGAATATTATTCCATATTTTAGGAGTTAGTGCACATTTGCAAAATACATTGTTCGAAGTGTCTCAATATTGGAGCTTGACCTGAGGGTGTACAGGGCATAGCAAAATTTGGTGAGCTTCTTGTTAAGA